TTTCATTAATCATTTTAACAACACTGCAGGAAACTGCTCCCTTGGGCGATTACGTACAGGGCTGTAGTTTATTGGTACTGTAAACCCACTTTTGCAGGCATGGAAATGTACACATTTTTCACATAAAAGATTTAGATAATCTCACTTTTGCACTCTACACCCCCGGATGAAAAGCACCGAGAGTAACCTCCGTTTAAGTTTAACTTTCAAATGCAAAAACAAATTGAGGAATTCCACACAATGGCCTATATTTGTCCAAGCATCACATCTGACACACACTGAGATTTGCACACTCCTGAGCTATGAGAGACACTTTAAATATAGACTGCATGTGAGGACAGTGTTGGTACAGTTGGGCTGTGGGATTGTGAATGGGATTATAATATTATGATATATGGCTGTATTCATTTGACTCTAGGTTCCAATGTGCCATACCACGCATAACAGCCAGCGCACAATGCAAGTATCACTTTCTGCTGCATGAAACAGTGCTGGCATTGTGTTCGTGCCATTTCAGACACTTCTTGGAAAAAGCTTTATAACTCCAAGATGTTGCAATTTTTCTTTTCTTTTTTTTTGCAAACCAATTTATATTTGCATTAACAGCCAATTTCATGTGTGTTTGTCAGTTGTCATGTAGACTTCAGGTCCAGTAGCTCAGAAATCCTTTTCCTCTCTGCATTTCTCTTCATTTTTTCTTCTTTTCATCTTCCTCCCTCCTCCCCTCCTCTTCCCCTTCCACCATCCCATTATTGTCGCATAGAATCGTAAATTTAGTGAATTTAAAGTGCATCCCAAACGAAACATATTCCAGTTCCTGCTGTGCTCACACCACCAGTAATTGGCTTTCTGACTGACAGCAGAGCAAGAGATGAAGGAGACAAAAACTGATGCTGTGAGACTAACAGATAATGTCTCAAACAGGGCAACTTTAAGGAAAAATACAATTTAAAATGTTCTCCTCCTCTGGAGAAATAAATTCTTATATTTTTGCATACACAGACACTTACAAACACACTTCAGTGCAATATATTTAACTTCATCTTGAGCATGAGTCTACCCATAAAGCTGGTGATCCTTACCTTCCAGCAGCAGCTGCAGCAGCAGCAGCACAGCGATGTTTCCCCGAGAGAAACCACAACTTGACCCCATAATCGCGAACCATAAGTGAAAGTTTCTGAATGAAAACGAGCCTCAAAAAAAGTTCCGAATTGAAAGATTTAGAAAAAATAAAAATAAAAACCCCAAAAACCAAAACCGATAAAAGGAAACGAAGGCGTTGAATAAACCAGTGTCCGGTGCAGCCAGATGAAGTCCTCAGTGTCCCATAGACGCGCTGCTGCGTGCGGCTCCAGTGGCTGCTGCTGGGCTGACTGGCTGACCAGGAGGAGGAGGAGGTTCACTGCCTCACTGCTCACTGCCCCGCTGCTTCCGCAGCAGCAGGCAGCGCAGCATCCACAGGAAATTTAAGAGCATAATTTAACAGCAGGTCAGTCATCTCATTAACACTCTGCAGGAGGGGGGAGAGAAATTATTAGCAATTATCATTAAATGTGTAGTGGTGCATTTTAAAGGTGCAGCCACTGGTGTGTTTATTTGAATCACTGCTTCATTATAACAGACTTGTGATCATTTATGTATGAAGTCTCGAGCCGGTTGCAACAGTGGGATTAATATATTCAGTTTAAGAACAAAGTTTCAGTTAATGAGGAGGTGTTTGAGTAAATGATGAAGCTGTTAACATGATAAGGTTTAATAAGGATCTCACAGGGTTTTTTAGGGATTGTTGCAGCTTAAAATGTCTGATTACATGACACCTTTTCTAAAAAATAAAATTACAATGAAAATTTCCCAAATAGTTGCTTTGATGATAGATATTTTTTTGGTGTAATTCATTGAAAATTAAAGGAAACTTGTTGCAGTGAGAATAAAATTGTTAGTATTTTGGTGCCACATGGCTCAACCCACAGCTATGATTGGTCAAATTTGTGAGAAAATTTGCCAAGATTGAACAAAATTGCTGCAGAATCCAGTGGAATTGGTTGAATTTGCGTTAATTGTTGCAACTGCAACCTCCTGGAGGGACTTACTAAACTAGTAAACATCTGCAGTGTTAGAGGCAACTTTAACTGCCAGGACAAAAACAACCAACCAGCTGTGTGACTCTGGTTAAACTCTGTGGGACCTCTCCCCTCTCACGCCTCCAGTGTGTGTCCGAGGCTGAAGGCTGTTACAGTGAGGGATCTCTCTCTCTCTCTCTCTCTGTGTGTGTGTGACTGGATAGTGTGGAGTGATGCATTGCTGCAGCCTCGGGGCAGGACACCAGTCACTCACACAGCAATCGCTCTCCAATCAATGTCTCTGCGTGTGCATGGGGCAAAAACACTGGAGCTCACTGGGCTGCAGAAGGGGGACGGCAGGGGAAAAAAAACATGATATCACTCCTGTTGTTCTATGTGCACCTGCTGTCTATGGTTTACTCAGTTTGTGTCCTGTGGATTTAAAGGTGGTAAAACAAAGGTGTGTCCACAGTTTAGGACTGAAGCAAAGTTATACATAATTTTTTTTTAATACAAAGTTGTAAAGAAAGAGAAATGAGCAGAAATTGTGTAGTCAGTTTATAATTATGTGTATAATTCTTGAATTATGCTGGCATGGGACCTTTTATACTGAAAATACATGTTCAAAGCTTTATAACATCCAGATTAGCTACTATATATACTATATATACTATATATAGTATACTATATACTATATAACTCATTGAAAATCAGATTTTTAAGGGGCGGAGCCTACGAGCATGATTAGTGACATCACAAATCCTGGTCGGTAACTTATACAGTGTGATGCAGAAACTTGATACTAAACAACATTTACATATTCATAGATTCTTTTAATTTAAAAATAAATATATAATTATATAAATAATAATAATTTTTAATGAGGTAAAAGGACTAATGTGGAAATTATACTTTTTTTTGCAGAAAAAAACAAAATTTTTTGTTCCAAGCAGACTATTTATATATCTCTTAATACACGTCTGAAGGGGATCTTTAACTTAAAGGTCCAGTGTGTAACATTTAGAAGTGGAATATAATATTCATAGGTATGTTTTCATTAGTGTTTAATCACCTGAATATAGGAAGTGTTGTGTTTTTATTAGATTAGAATGAGTTGCTTTTATCAACAGACATCACAGATCGCCATGTTTCTACAGTAGCCCAGTGGCTCTAGATGGGGGTGTTTGAGTTTTTAGGTGCTTTGCAGCCACCGTAGTTTCTCCTTCATGCTTGGAAGAGGAGCATGATAAGACAGAGTTGGAACTACACCCCTAGATGTCACTTTACCTGACACACTGGACCTTTAAAACTGTACAATAAAAACCCTTTTAAGTGATTTCTTTAAGATATCTTGTAGTCTTCATTTGTGAATGATAATACGTTAACAGATACTGTACTCAAACGTTCACTTACACACCATACAGGAGGATAAATGTCGTATCAAGGGAGACTGTGAGGATCATTATGTGATATAAGAGTCGATCCGCATGAGAACATTGTATCTGGGATAAAGTTTCCATATGACAGACTATAGGTATCCTGAGACATATGCTCAGTGGGAATCAATAAAAACAAGGAAATGTGGTGGTGTAGTCTTGGTATGTGGAACCACAACAGTATCTTCTGGGCTTTTTTCTTACAACGGCTTCAGCAGAAATTTAATCTGAAATATAAGCAGAATATTCATCACCTCCGCAGTCTGGACACTTTCATTTGGACCCTTTTTATCTTTATTCACAGCTGCTTGTGATGTTTAATGGTTTTTATGCTGTTTGCTGTTACTGTAAGTCACCCAGAATGAGTCAGCTAAATGCTTATACTCAAACACAAAGCTTTATTATTGCATGCAAATACACAAAAGATATCTTTAAACCCTCTCTGGTGAGTCTGTATTGATTTCATTTTCATCTCATCTATGAGTTTCCACTGCTGGCACGGTAGTTTGGGAAAGCAATTATGGACTTGATTCCTGTTCCAAGAAGGGAGGGGTGCACCTACAGGGATTCAAACAACAACTTCTGTTCATAAGACAATTACCAAAACCACTACATCATATTACGCAATGTTATTACGGCTTCTGAGGAGTGTGTAATGCGATTTCACCCTGGAAGAAGAGCACGTTGCTGTTTCATTTCATTAACTAGATGGTCATTTCATGATCTACACACCACCTGACCTGATGCTGAGGGCACAGTCCTGTGAGTGCTCAATATGTATACACACAAAAATAATCCATAAATCACTCAACCAGATAGTCAACCATGTGGAAATGTTATAATCCAAGTGTGAAATAAACCCTGCTTTTTAGTGGATAACTAGCTTTGTGTGTTGAATATGTAAAACACGTAAAGGGCTCTTTGAAGGGTCTCGTCGTTATTTCTCTGATGAATTGGATTTGTGTAATTTCCCAATTTCCCTGATTTTTTTTAATACAATGAGTGCAAGAGGTGTCGGTCCCATTAATGACACTCCTTTTGTGAGCTGTGCATCTTGACCCCTATTAAAGTACTGTCACTCGGACAGCAGATGGTACCGGCACACACACACACACACACACACACACACACACACACACACACACACACACAGAAAGAGAAGGAGTGGCCATGGCAACAGACTCATAATGGCTGGCGTTGTGTGTAGTGGAATCACTCGGCCTAATTTGTTAAGTACCACCTCAGTATATTTGATTTAATCAGTCTATTCAGAGCACAAAACAAGCTGCATCATATAAATCTTCAGCTGCCCACACTGACAGACATCCTCTTTACAAACTGGGTGGTGGTTTAATGGGTTTAATGGGTTAATATTTTCACACTTTTTCTCCCCCTTTTGTTGCAGCTCGTGTTGGATTGAGACTTTAAGAAGTTCCTCTGAGCTACTTGATTTGTCAGATGGTTTGGATATCAGTTCAGTACATCACTGAAAAATAAACTCAACTGATTACGCCAAGAACAGTTGGCCATGTTTTATTTAAAACTCCCACAGATGTTATAATAATCCATATATCTCACCATGAATACGGTTCGTTAAGAACTGAAAAACAAGATAATGGCAATAATAATTAAAAGGGACAGATGATCTAGCTGGTTTATATTTTGAGGAAGAATTTCTTCCTGTACAGCAGGTAGGCGATGAGCACCCACAGCGCGGTTCCCCACAGGCTTTGGAAGAGCCGCTCCCCGTGGCCTTTCTGGAAATGCATCTCCCAGCTGAACGGGAAGTAGAAACCCAGGAGAGAGTGGCCGACATATACAAAGATTGAGTTCATCCCTAAAGGACGAAAGGAGACACAAACACAAGTTGTTATTGAATAGGACTCCTCTTTTTTTAAAGTATTGGCTGTTTCATCAGCCAGTTCTTGCACAATTATCTGCACATTTTCAAAACAGGTTAGTTTTGATGCATTTTAGGGGAATTATCAATTTATTATTATTATGATTAATATTATTTTATACCATAGCATGCTTTCCAAACATCAAGACCGGTGAAAGAGTAAGAGTAAAAAAGTTGAATCTATTCTTCTACTTGAGTAAATAATGTGTGTACGTTTTCCACCTCTGGTCACACTATAGATTTGTGGAGAAAATGTGAATTTTGGACAAAACAATTATAGGTGCAAATTCAAAATAAACCAAAAATTTACATAAATCAAACACATTTTTACGTTGAGTAAAGAACTGGAATAAATTGCAATTCCAACCTTTACAGAGAAATCAAACCCTTGTAGGACAGTTAATAATAATAATAATAGTAATAATAATAATAGTAATAGTAATATTAACCCCTGTTGAGGCAGAATCCTGAAATACATAAAATAATATGTACTAAATGTTTGTTATAACTAAAGATGAACAGACAGCTAGCCCAGAAGTAGATCCCTTTGCAGCTATAGAGATATATATTAATGACTGCGTTTAATTTTGTGTTTAATTTTTTTGTTTTTAAAATGATTTCTGTAAAACTGGCATTAGCTTAAATTCCTGTTTTCAGAATTACTTTAATGAAACTAGCGAGTGCAGTTACCTCAAAGCATTGTCAAACTTTATTTTTTATTATGAGAATAAGACCCAGGTTGAAAAATATCAGAATTGTCCTTTAAACTTGCTTCAACTGTAAAAAAGGATATAAATACAACACTGATATATTATCTTTAAAGTTGATACGGTAAATACAGCAGCTGCGGAGCAACGTTAACATCATCTGGAGTCATGTTTCTGTAAACCTGGTGAGTGTAAGTTCAATAGCAGCACAATTTATCCACAGTTTTGCTCTCTATGACTTGTGAGTGAAATAATATCTGGCTCTTTAGCTGCTAAATGCTCCACTATGTTCACCAGCTTGTTGCGAACTAGTCTGTGTGAAGCTGGGCAGGTCAGCCCTGTGTACCCCCGCCTCTCGCCCAGCTGGGATCGGCTCCAGCCCCCCCCCCACCTCTGCAACCCTCCAAAGGATAAGCAGATAATGGATGGATGCTGGGCAGGCAGTGTACAGAGGTTGTTGTTTTACAGAGAACTGCTGAAAACAGCTGCTTCTATATGGAAATAACATTAAAGATTGAAACAAAACAATAAAGTTTAGAGCTGGAAAACCAAGGAGTCATGTTATTACCACGTTCAATCATGTTTTTGAAGATATTTTTGGGGCCTTTTAAGCCTTTCTTTTGATAGGACAGGTGAAGATAGGGTGATTATAACCAAAGCATATAGGCTAAACCACTATAATACAGTCAATAAACAGTACCTGGGTATATGAATGGCTGTCCGGGCCACCAGCCCTTCACATCGCTGACAAAGTACATGCCTCCCAGCAGCAGGAAGGAGAAACAGCCCATACACAGCACATAGGACAAAGACCTGGAGAAACAAACCATCAGTAACTCTTCACAACAACAGCAACCTTTCACTCATTCGTTCATTTGGGCGCCACTAAGATGTTAGTAGCACAGCGTGAACAAGGGGTGTAAAAACACCGAGTCTATCAATCCTGTACTGCAGATAAATAACACCCAGGGGTCTCAAGCCAATCCAGCAAACTGCGGGACAGTTTGCTGGATTGGTCTAAAGCATCAGCAGTGGATCCTTGGCACGTGCCCCGTGGAGCGGTGCCAGCCAGCCATGTCCCTGTCTGCTCCTAAGTGCAAGAATGTTTGATGTAATATCATCTGATGTAAAATGGCTGCCTCTTCGCAATGGGCTTTTTTTTATTTTTTATCTCAGCTGAAGTGGGGCCAAAAAGGACTCTTGGCTGGGAGTTAATTACTTCTAGACATCCAGGCAGGGATTCGTACTCAAGAGCTCAATAACCTGCGCATGATGAACTGCCTATAAAAGCCAGGCAGGTAATGGCGAGGGATGAGCGCAGCGTTAGCGGGTGGCCCCTGTGGAACATCATGAAGAATTTGCTTACACATCACAGATGAAATGGTATTCTTCCTGCTGCAACATTAAAATGATTCACATCATATTAAGGGGAATGTGGGAGTGGAACAAATGCACAGGTTGTAAAGTAATCTACGTCTGAGGTAAAAATTTGCTGTATTTCATGCTAAATCATTACAGACATTTATCAAGATGCCTTGTTTTTTCCCAAAAATTTAAAAAATAGGCACATGATAGTTTGGGAGCGGTTAGCCTGAACTGTGGTTATACAGATGATTTTCCCAGAGCCGGGTCTCGTTCCATCACACAGAGCTGGTAACAAAAAAACAAAAAAAAAAACGTGTAGTGAGTGCTTCTGGGGGTAGAGGGGATAAAGCATCCTTTATTTTGCTGGCTGTAAGGAAGAGTGATCATGTTGGGAGGATGTATAACCGCTCCACCTCACACTCCCGACAGCCCGGGTGATTATTTACAGTCGTAGCTGTCGTTAGAGGTAAGTAAACGCGTGTTTTAGCAGCCTTGATTTGTGCCTGTTGGAAACCCATCCTTTCTTTTGTGAGGAAAAGTGGCTGGATTTAGAGGGTCAGGAAGCACTTACCAAAGGTTTTTATTGACAGGTATAAATCCTCCGTCTCGCGTGCACTTAGAAAGGATGGCTGCAGAGATTCCCTGAGGGTGGAAATGAAACAGATTTCAAATCGATGGAGGGCGATAAAGCAAGCTGTATTGGGCTGCTAAAACGTGAGGCAACAGAATCAAGCGAGTCCGGCAGATTAAACGATTATCTGAGAGTCAGATGAACCCAAAGTGTGATCAACCACACAGGAATGTTCTCTTCAGAGAGAGAGACCTACGGAGTCACACCCATCTGAGGCCGAAATGACTCCACAGCCACGATACAACGACCTGTGCGTGATCTGATGATGAACTCTGCGTCAATAAAAGCTTTTATTCTCTCATCTGTTTACCTTTACATGTGATTTAGACACTCGAGGAAACATGTTGTGCTCCACAGACAAACCCAGGGCAGCGGATCGGGATCCAAACATGCTTGTTAGGTGGATATCCATCATGCGTATAGATGACAGAATCGATGGTGTGGAAATAGCCTAGCCGGGGCTGGATTGAGTCTCCAGGCTATGCAGGCAGCAGGATGTGGGATGGGGCTGGTATGTGGGGCAATCGCTCAATTTCAATCTCTCACTTCTGGAGCCTGATCGTTGGACTTTAATTAACTGTTGTTTATTAGGAGGAAGATGCATGGCCGCCCCTCGATATCAATCCGCCTCAGAAATTACACTACAGTGACCTGTGGTGCGAAACCGTGGCTTGTCGTTGACTGTATCAACACTTTTCTGGTTCTTTGTGAACCTTCCTGTGCGTAATATCAATCCTGTGGTTGGGTGCGTGCAGAAATGAGCTCCCTTCCTCCACCGAGGAGACCTGCTAATGTCAAGAGCACATGTCTTGAAACAAGAGGCAGTTCAGCTCTGCTTCCTGCCTCCCCTCTGAGGGCGAAATCGTATTAGAAAAGTCAATATCAAGACCAGGCCAATCACTAAAACTCATTTTGCTTTCTTTGCTGGTGAAAACACTTTGTGGGACTAAGAATAGATCAAAGAAGAAGGCAAAGCAAATATACATCAGCAGAACACGTGGGACGATTATATGCTGTTTTTATATCGTACACATGGTCTGTATCTGCTCCCAGAATCAATAAAAAAAAAGGCCAGATCTCTCTGTCAACCGATGCGACGTGAGAAAATCTATTTAATCGTTATTCTTTATTTCAGTTAACCCGGATTTTAAGTCCTTGTATTGATCCATCACTAAACTCTTTATGATCCTGAATATAACGTCTCTAACAACAACAACACAATCCTTGAGTAGCATCCACATCATCTATTGCAGCATTAACTGGTGAACCATGAGATACAGTGGGAAAAACATAAAAGCCTTAAATGTTTATTTATTTTGTCATGTGTTACTTTATCACTCTGTGCCTCTGGGAGAAGCCAAATGGATCTAATTTATTTCACCTCCCTCCGGTCAGTCGCTCCACAATGATAGTCAATACGATTCAACACCAGGAGGCATAATGGGGAGATTTGTCATTTAAGAATTGAGGTTAATGACATTAAATTCTCACAACAGAATTTCAATTGATTCTCGCAGATATAAGCAGCATTTTTCCAGGTTCACGAACACAAAAAAATGTTCCTTTGCCCCATTCCTCGGCTTATGTTGGATTTAGTGCATTAAACCAGTAGTTCCCAACCTTTTTGTATCATTGAGTAAACTGACACCACAACACACAACAATAACAGTTTGCAACAGCTGATAAACTGTACAATTAACCCAAATAGTGAACTCAATAACTGCAGGAAGTTTGCGTGAAAGCAACAATTCGGATGAATTCTGAGCAGATTATTTCCTGTGAAATAATTACACCAGAGATGAGTTTTACTGTCACTTTTAGGAACTTTTAATGCAATTCTCTGTATTATTTATATTGGTTTTTTGACGATCATACATACTTAATAGTATTTTTTAAATTTTTTTCGACAGATTTTAGGAGTTTTCTTCTTCTTCCCTTGGCTATTGTTGTTTTAACTCTTTGGTTTTCTTAATTACATATTTTTAGCTTTGATTATATCTTAAATTATCATTCAAACTTTAAACATTCAGGTTTCTTCACAGAAACAAATGAAATACTGAGATATAGGCTTAATTAAAGTTGGGAACCAGTGCATTAAAGCTAGCACACAAGATCATCAGGATTACAATACTATTATTTTGTATTTCTGTTTTTGTAATTAATGTTTTTAACGATGCTTTCTTCCTCTAGTGAAACCAGCAGGTTGACATATTTGACTGACTGGAACCAAATTTGGTACATTTGACGCTGATAGTTCCCAGATGATGAATCTAAAAGACTTTAGTGATCCACTGACTTTCCCAATATAGCGCCACCATGAGGTCAGAAATTGTGGTTTTGAGTAAATGGATAGTTGACAGTTTAGTGTACACATTCATGCTTTTATCTAGTGTCTGGCTAACATCATAATTTGTCCAATACTTTGGTTTGTGACTAAATACCTGTTAAACTAATGACATTTCCAATGTCATTGTGAGCATGTTAACATTCAGCTCACTCACAGAGCTGCAAACACGGCTGTGGACTCTCAGTCTTGTATTCTTACATGCTGAGATTTTTTGGGGGGATTTTTTTGTAAAATAAGCTGGAAGAGGAACCATTGCTATTGTGGGCCTGAAAACAATTAAGATATTGCATGAGATATTGGGCTGAACAAATAAAAATTGACGTCACAAATACATAAACAGATGCAGTGATAATATGAAGTTAATGATTTAAATTGTTTCCTTAACTTAAAAACCTTCAGTGTGGTTTCATCACACTGGTCAGTTACACACACCAGTCTCACGGAACCTGATATCTAAAATTGCAGAGAGGATAATATACAACTACATAAACTTAAAGCTAATGGGAACTGTTACTGTTTCTGTGTGTTTTTCTCTGTCTGCGTCTACCGGTCTCCTATTTTCATCCTGCACAGTTTGATTTCAAAGGCTGTGCAGCCAGCTCCACCAGCTCCATCATCGCTCCAGGTCACAGGGCTGCCAGTTCAGGATGTCTGCCTCCGCAGCATGCAGGCTCCTACTAACCCCGTTTAGCAAACGAGCTACATCTCTGCAGCATCCCGTTGTACGTACATGAAAACAGTGGCCAGGCACAGTTCAGCAAAGCCTTTCCACATGCATCTCTGTCAATCTCGTTAGAGCAGACCAACAGCCTCATGTCGCAGGTTTAGAAATGCAAAACGGGCCATCTCGTATAACACTATGCTTCTCCCTGTGGGACACATTCCCCCTCTAAATGAAATAGAGGCCAGCTTGCCTCTTTTTGTGTTTTGAGACCACCCAGAACGAGCACAGATCCAAAACAAATATCACCTCAAATGCTATCGGAGAAGATTCATGAAGAAATTTGCCTTTTTATTCTGGAACCTGTTTCTGTTAAACCACTTCCTCCATACTATCATGTGACTAGTCTGTAATTGTGTGTTGAGAATGCAGGTATATGAATTGATCATGCTCTTCATCAGATGCAAGGACGTGCACAAGGCTGTTGTAGCTGCATAAATACAAGTAGCCCTTAATTGCTAAAGTTAGACCTAATTAAAGTCGCCATATCATCCACACATCCATATTTTTTGTATTATGCTATCACATGAACCAATCATGGCTCGCTAGTTGGTTAACATATAGGCAACAATATAACAGCAATATTGTGTTATATGAAGCATTTGTGACAAGCTGGGCGTTGTCCTGAAGTATATGTGGAGATTTTTATTCACAGGGCATCCCATTGGTTATCCTTTTCACCTGTGGTTGCCCTTTTTTCAGGTTGCAGCTTAACAGCAACTTTAAAACATCTGTGTACAGATGCAGTAGCCTGTAAGTAAAAACTCTTATAATCTAAAACCACATATGAGGCACACAGGCAGTGAGAGACAGTGTGTATCCCCCTGAGGCGCTGGATACCCACGTCTGCCCGGAACCACAGCCACACATGGATGTTGTTTAATTGTACTGAGATCACGCACATGTCCTCTACTAAGCCGCTGCTAATGAATGGCTTCGGCGGCTATGACTAATACCCGAGTGGCTGGAAAACATGTAGCAGGGTTCACCTGCAAGGCGAAGCAAAAACAGCAAGAGCATAAAAGTGCTCAGCTCCGTGTGAGTCATAGGAGCGGGAAGATGTTTTAAGTGATTTTTTGTCTTGGTTTTAAATCATCAATTGACTTTTATACTCATTTTACACCAGCTGTGTTTTTAAAAACCTCCACGTGACGTAACGTACCAGGATGACGGCCCATGCCAGGAATCGACAGAGGATGTGGAAGTTCATCCCCTTGTAGAAAATGATAATTTTCCCAGCCTGTGGAGAAAGGAGGCAGAGATAAGCGCAGTCACCGAAACTCACTCAATCATACATTTAATGAGAAATACCGTGTAAACACCAACAACCGGTGTGTCTATGCATTTGCCCTTGGGTAACTAAATAGGCCTGGGATGTGGATGTCAATGCTGTGTCCCTGACGTGGCGGCCACATTTCTCCTATCCTGTTGAGCCAGATGTGGGATGTTAGTCATCCGCACCCTCTGATTAATTTGGTGTTGATGAATATGTTTCAGCCGAGGACATTAGCATGGGCGAACACAGAGGAGGGCAGCGGACACCTGGTGTGTCGTCTAAGACTCGCTGAGTGAAGGGCTCAGTGCTAACCGCCCACTGGGAATTGAACAATGTGGCTGCTTTTGCACGGCAGCTTCCCACAACACAAATGGTTATAAGTGACACAGTCGCCATCAGAGACTCGGATCTAAAGACCGAAAGCTCTCTCCTCACTTTCTGACAACGTTTTGTCAATAAAGGAGGGCAGCTGTGCTCCTACAATGAGGCGGGAAAGAGTCTTTCACATAACCTTCATTTAAGTACAGAGTTAAGTTTAGTCTCACTATATACATACTTATGTTTTTTCTTTAAGGTCCAGGTTGAAAAACACCAAAGTTACCCTTTAAATTGAGTAATTGTACAAAATTCAGATCAATTCATAGTTACATATGGCTTTGATTGATTTCTGTCTCAAAATTTATTTAAAAAAAAATCAGTTTTCTGAATCTGATGATTGATCAGCGAGCTAGTTTGGTTCCATGGGAATAAAAGAAGCTTCGCTCTGGGCCAATCAGAGACGAGTATTGTGAGGACGTAAGGGGAAGTTCACATAAATCACAGAAAAACATACAATATTACAATTACTATTACATTATTTATTTTTAGTGGCATGAAATTTCAATGTTTCTCAATGGAGGTAGAAGTAGAATTTGTTTTATTAAAATAAAGCAAAAACCAACATATCTTTCCAGAAACTTCCCAGGTTGCTTCCTGGCAACAGTTTTTAGTGGAACTACTTTGTATTTAACATTGATTCCTTATGAAAATGACAGTTTCTGGTGGAGTTTTTTAAATGTGAATTTAAAATGAGCATCACAAATGAAAATATCAGATGAAATAAAACAAAAAAAGCTTGACTTTAACCTTTAATTTAACCAGTAAATAACATTTTAACTAAGCCTAACTATATATTTGCAAAATACAGTATCATGAAGAACATTACGTCCTATTCCAAGCAAAAGGAAACTTGAAACTAAATAATGACAGCAGAATAATACGGACACTTTATAGGAAGTATTAGAAATACTCTTGTACCACTTGTTGAATCATACAGGAGAAATAAATGATCCATCTTACCTGCATCCCCAGGAATCCCATGACAATGGAGTTGATTGTACCCAGAAGCCCCTCTGGGTCAAAAGGCTGCGTGGTGCGATACATTTCCTGGAAAAAGCAACGTAAACAAAAAGGACCAGAAATGTTGTTTTAATGGTTTTAATTAAAAACCGATTAATTAATGAATGAGGTGTGAAAAAGATCTTACTTTGCATGTCGGGTATCGGTACATGTTATCACCAAACATCCATCTATCAACGTATCCTGCCGCGCCTCCAGTGCAGTTTGGGTAAAGACCGTTATCACCGATTCCACCGGCTCCCAAATACCCTCTGATAAACAAACAATACAGTATAATCAGTAATAAAGAATAAGGTTTTTCTAATCATGTCTTGTTTTTAAGTCTTGGTTGAGATTCGTTTTCTACCACACATCCTTCAGATGTTGGAAAAAAACACAAGCGCTGTGGGGAAAAAGTGCTCCTGTTGGAACTCACAGTATTCAAACACTGACAGGGTCACAGAAAAGGGAGAAAAAACCCACACAAAAAGCAGCACCGAGCAGAAGACACAGAGCGAGGAAGATGGATCCTCTGCCTCGGCTCCTCTTATTGCACATGACAGACTGAGATTGGCTAATTATGCCCTCTGAAGCATCCACCACAGGCCCATAAATCACGGCGGTTCATAACACCAGCAACACAAGGTGCACACTAACACCTCTACTGCTGGAGATTACCTCAGCATGGAGGGGAAATGTACACTTTTAGCATATGTGTACAGTAATGCTCGGACTTACGTGGGGCAGTTGGGTACAGGCATGAGGAAAGTGATGCAGAGCCACAGGGTCTCCAGCAGGATGATAATCAACCACTGTGGCCAATAAAGGACCACATCCTGGACGGGGTTCCACCAGTGATGCTGTAAATGAATCACAATAATGGTAAATAAAGTTTAAGTAAGGTTTTTCTAAGATTAAACTTTATTTTGGTGTGTGTTTGCCCAGTTTTTCCTGCAGTAAGGAAAAGAAACACAACACAAAACAACAAAAATGGACCCAGGAATCCAAAGTGCGCGCAGCAAATTAGCTAAGTGTGTTTTCAGGTTGGACTTCTTTAACATTTTATTTTACCCCCGGTGTGTAATGACAGACTAAAGTGAACTTGACAGAGCTGCTCACCGCTCTCAGTGGGATTTCTTTCTGGCCCCAGAAAGTCTGCAGGACAGAGAGAACAAAGTAGGTGAAGGCCAGACGCTGCAGCACTCCAGGGATCCTCAGCCAGGACCAGGACACTGGAACACAACAACAACACACATGAACCCCTCATGTAATGATGAATACATCCAACTCATCTACAAGTACAGATTTAACTCAGTGGTTTAAAGCAAATTCTGCTGATTTGAGAAAATAATAAATCCGGAAATTGACAATACTGAAACATCTTCTTAATCATTCCACTACATCCAGAAGGAGGATGATGGACAGTGCTGGGAGAGGGTGTCAGCCCTCAGGATGTAGACACGTCAAGAACGTGGCAAGCTAATCAAAGATTCCCAGTTATCTCCCGGTCTCGACAAATTGGGGAGGATAGGATTGGCTCCTGGTTGAGAGATTGATGGTAATCTACACATTAGTTAATTGAAAACCTCTTTGCCGTACAAAGTGCTGTAAAAAAGAAGTGTAATCCCATTCATTGATCTGGACAAATCAAATAAGAGGCGGAAATCTCTCTTTCACAGGAAAAGAGGAAGCTCTTACTTATGACACATTTGTTAAATCTGCAGGTCACACCCCCACCAAGATAATTTAGTCTATCTGTCCCCCCACATAATTGTCACTTAAATAAAAATCAACCTGAAAGTCACAGTTTTTTTTTTAAAGGTACTGAACTGCAGGAAATATCCTTTGTTTCACTTTATGATCAATTTATGTAGGTTTTTTTTTGTGTGAAACTGAGACCCTTTCTGACGTTCAATATCATTTATGAAGCGAAAGCACTGCTGTCTGCTTCCCATCTCTGAGCACTTTAAGTGATATATTGAATAAAATAATGATTCTATGGTGGAAGTGAATAAAGCCATCAGAAAGTAGAGCAAATAGCTGAACCAAGAACTTTTTAAAAAGAGGGTTTTATTTGAAAATCCTCTGAAGGCAACAGTGGGGGTTTTGAATCTGACTTTCTGAGCTCATCTACATCTGACTGATCTTTTCTTGTCAACTTCTCACCATCTAAAAAATAATAATCTTTAAGCAAAAGAATATTTTTACATATCAAAAATGTTTTTAGTTTCCCTATTTTTGAGTTTTACCTATTGACATCCATTAACTCAAGTTCTTTATAATCTAAAACCAACAAACTGGTGTCTTTAAACGTTCAATGTGTTATTTCTGCTGCTATGCGGTCTCTCAGATTAAAACAATAACATAAGAAGAAGTTTGGTGACATTGTGAAGGTTGTTATCTTCACCTTCATTACGTCATTGTAGTCAGCTTCTCCTGGGAGCCCATTTATCTGCAGAGGTCTCGTCCTCTCAGAAATAAATCCAGTAAAAACACTGAATAAATCTGTGTGGAGGGGCTGCAAGCCGAGCTGCTCCTAACGTTAGCTCAGCTTGTTTCTCTGATAACTTAAGATCCAGACTTCTGATGACGAAAATCCTTCATCCAGTTCAAATCTAGAGTTAAAAGATCATCAAGTGTATCTTAAAAAGTGTGAAGTGTTATTCAAGTGTGGCCTAAAACTATCTAACTAACAGCGTTACCACAATAAAAAGACAGAGTTTTAACATGTTGGAAACATTTTGGATAATGTAAGTACACAACTCAACTACATATATAACATAGGTCCAGGGTTTTTTTAATGCGGAGATGCTACATCTAATATCTTTAACTGAAATAACTAAAATTGGAGTTTCAAGGTCTTTTGAACACGGCTATAACTATAATCTGGACACCCAACCGTTGGCAGCGTTTATTTAAAATGACTCATAGTTGATGTCAAAGGTTAACACTTTCTTTTGTCTCGTCTGACATTGAAACGGTCCAACATATTGAGCTGATGTGACTCCATTCTCTTATTAGATCAAACCCTGGTAGTGAACTGCCGAGGACGTCCTTGGAGACAAAGGGCGAAGCTGCAGTTTATGGTAAAAGTCACTGTGCTGTTATGATCAGCTCGAGCAGCAGCAGCAGCAGCAGCAGCCTCCACAGCAGCTGCACGAAGGCTGAAGGCTGTAACACTATCTGTTTGTAATTGTCCATTACCACAGCGGTTGTTTTTGCTCAATCTGCCTCTGTTAAACGTCCCCTGGTGCTGGATTTTGAGACTGCACACACACAATAACAATATTTTTGTTAACCCAGTTACACAGACATCCACCCAGGAAAGTCCATTAGTGCTGGGGATGGCTAATGTGTGAAGGGCGCCCTGTGCATCCCCAGGTGGACGATGAAATGGGGATTTTTCAGCCTGCTTCCCCTCCTTTAACTCCCCCCCCACACACACACACACACACACACACACACATACACACAGACCTGCAGCTTTGGCTTTTATCACAAATCTAAAAACACATATTACATCGTGGTATTTGACTTTCAGTATTGTATTTTGTTCCATTAGCCATCACGTGGAACATATTTTGCACCTACGTGGTCCGTCTCTTGGAGAGTAGTTGAGGAAGCAGAAGCCGAGCATCAGGAGGACGACTGTTCTCCAGGTGACTTTACGCAGCAGCTGCAGGCGGCTAACTCCTCTCCTCTGCATGGATCTGAAAGCCAACACCACCGAGGTCCCAATAATGAACACAAACCTGGAAGAAACAATAGTGTTAAGCTATTAAAAAACACACATATATGTGTACACAAATATGTATATTAGTGTGCATTAAAATGAGACCTACCAAGGCATGACAAGATCTGCCACAGTGAGACCTGCAACAACACCAGAGGCATAAATTAATATCAATACACACACAGATACTTGAATTTGATGCCAGAGTTCACATTTGTTGCCCTTTTTCTAATCTCTTCAATCCAAAAGGCGTACAAGGTGAATTAAGAACAATGTAATGTCCTTAAACTGCTGTTTCTGTCATTAACTTTCCATTTTGAATAAAAGGTGTGATTAATAAATATCTACAGTCCTGTGACAGCAGTGGCCCTGCAGCAAAAAGAAGATTAATAAAACCACCCCTGAAATCAATACACCCTTGTAGATGTGGCAAATAGGTTATTATAAAATTTTAAATTGAGAACACCCCTAAAAGATGACACAGATTTCATAAAGGTTGCAGGGACATTTTTGCAAAGAGAAAAGGGATTCAACTGTCCTCTGTGGGTCAGAGATGCCTTGCTCCAGGACACCTCAGGAGTGGCTGCAGCAGGAGGAGAGTACTTCTTCACCGTCCCCTCCCATATTCTCCCAGCTGTCGTTTAAAAACACTCATCCCTCCTCCTTCTCGTCTCCTCCCTGGTTGTTAATAACAATAAAAACGTATGGATCGTGCCTTTGATTCAGCGTCCTGTGTGTGTGTGTGTGTGTGTGTGTGTGTGTGTGTGTGTGTGTGTGTGTGTGTGTGTGTGTGTGTGTGTGTGTGTTCGGTTCGAGGCTGCATTCATCATAATTAGTGACAACAGGTCAGAAAAATGCAGCAGACACGGTGAGGAGAGGGCCGCCATTGAATAATTGCCTTGAGTTCACACATTCATTTCATATGTGGCTTCATGTGAAGGAAGGAGGACATTAATATTAGAAGTATCTGCTCCTCCCATACAAACAGACTGACCACTGTTGGAGCACAGGTTGTACTGTACAAGCTGTGGTGTAACTGTCTTATACTTCACTTAACCGTTCCACGGTGCATGTTGGAAGAACCAGTAGCCTCCTCCACCGTAGTTCACAAACACCATCACTGTCAGGGCAAACCTATAAATACAGAACAATGAGTCAGCACTATTAGTGCATTAACCTTCCTGCAGTAGAGCGAGTGACAGTGTGGGACAGTAACTAGGCATTACTAGTAATAATGTTACAGTAATGATGTTAATTTGGCTTGGAGAGTAACATGTAACTGAGTCAGGTAATCAGGATACTGTAATCCATTAAAGTTACAGAAAAAAAATGACAATCAGACTACAGTTAGTAAAAATGGGGATTATTCAACAGGATTACAATTTTAAAAGACATTGTTTTTTCTTTAAAAACAAAGCAAAAACTTTTTTTTTTGTTTTATAGAATAATCTTTGGTGTTGAGGTAATCCAAAAGTAATGGAAAGTAATCAGATTATGTTACTGACTACATCTTTTAACAGGTAATTTTTAAAAGTAACCCTCCTAACCCTGTTAGTTACTAATATATTACAGTTACCCCCCTCAAAAACAATAACTAGTTACAACATTACTTTCGTTGTCACCCTCCTACTGATTTGAAATCCAACAATCCAATCACATCCTTGGATTCATTTTTGTAATCGTGAAGCAGGAAACTAATTTGGATGATGGAAACATTCAGCAACTGGAAATATTCCCATTGCTTTGATTTCAACAAATAAAACTGTATTTTCAGGAGAATTATGCAACAGCCATTTTGTGTGGAGTAGCAGAAAAGTAATATAACTATTAGTGTAACCAATTACTGTTAGCAGGGAGTAATTAGTAAAGTAATAATATTACTTTTGAAAGGGATGTCAATCAGATTTATACAATATTAAATGGTCACTAAATCTCAGCCTTTCTGGTTACAGGTTACAAACATCTTTTTAAAATACAAAAATGTGAAATTATTGGTTATCTTATTGATATCAGCCATTAGAAACAGGTGATTATAGGTTATCGCATTGTAAAAAAGTCATATTTTGAGTAATGAGCCCTACGCTGGTCTAATAACTACATGAAATACAGAATAAAACATTAACATCTAACTAGTTTTTCGTCTAACTAATACATCTGATACAATATGAACTTTTGAATTCATGTTAAAGAGGCCTGGAGGAGGGGGGCCTTTTATTGTGTCACACTCCAAATGCAAGGTAATGCAATCTAAGCATTATGAATCACTCAGGAAATGAACACTTGTCCTCTGGATCTCCTCAAGCAGGAGTGCTGACTAAAGACTTTGCGTCTAATATATGATACACTTTATACTTTAGCACTGGCCAAGGCTGCTGAAAAACTACAGCACACGTGATGGAGTGCTTCACTGAATCAGACATTGGAGGGAAAAGAAGGTGTGTTGCGTTGCATGTCAGAAAATGGACCATTACGCAACACAAACTTGCGGGGGAATGTAAAATGGTTGCAAGCGGCCACAGAATCCTTTCACCATCCGTAAAACACTTGAATTTATGCTTCTGATTCATGTTTTATTTATTAAAAACAAAACCAAAAAAAGGAGCCCGAACAAGATTAGGACAACCTCTAAGAACAAGGCTGTCTGATAAGGCGCAGTGTATCTCCCTCTGCCTCCTCTTGTTTTTCTGCCTAGATTCAATTAAGAGGTGCACCAAAGCCATTACTGCTCTTTTAGCCACAACCTGCTGATACAAGATTTTAATCGGTCACTATCATCTCAAAAGGGCTATTAAAGCAGAGTAAACCCTGCTGCATGTGTCCACTTTCTCTCTCTCACGCACACACACGCTGGCTATCATTTAAATTTTGGCGAACGTATCCATTAGTCGCCATAGTGACAAAGACAGAGGTTAAATCACTAGCCAGATGAGACCAGGTGAAAATCACTGCAATATCAGGACTTATTGGCCATCTGTTTAATCAAAACACCCTGAGTGTCTCACACACACACACACACACACACACACACACACACACACACACACACACACAGTGTCTGCAAATTATGATTAAGAGAAAGTGCTTAATTAAATATGATGTGTACTGAGATCTCTTTTTTTTTTTTATGTTGCACCAGCGTTAATGCAAGATAATGTCCAGGCTGAAGCACCGCAGGCGTGTTCCTTGGTTCCTAATCAGGTTGAAGTTGTAAATATCCCCCGTGAATCTCTCTACTGAACATTCGTCACTTCAGTAATAGACTTAACTCACGTCTGGGAATCAGTATTCGTGATTTATAGCTAACACATTACAGATAGACGTGTCTTTCTTGCAGCGGTGACAACTGGTTATGACTCGCTGATAGACGCTTATGGACTTCTTTGATTTGAATCACTGTACATGCATTGCCAATTAGAGTGTTAGCTTAGTACATTTCCACCCCCACCGCACCGTTGCAAATGGACAGTTAGACTCTATCACTGCAGAGTATTGAGTTACCTGCTGTGCATGGACATATCAAGTACACGGACACCCAATCTAGTCATAATAAATTACTACTTGAGTGGACATGCCAAGGTTCTTTCTTTTTGTGTGTGGTTAAACTTTGGAGCCTAGTCAAAATAAGGCACAGAATGAGTCAGCCACCTGGTGTTAAATGGAACTGACAAACCATTGTTTTGCTCTAATAGTTGTTCCCTCGGTTGTACGGCTCCGCTGACTACTGACGGTGCGATTTTCAACAGTAAGGAAACGGGCGACAGGCTTTTAGCACTGCGGCACAAGATTAAAATCCAAATCCTTTTAGAAAAATTAACGTGCAACCGTAGCCTACTGTTCTCTGTATATCATGTCAGTGAGGCCCTGAGCAATGATCAGGAAAAAACCTTTCGGCTCGGAAGAAAAGGCTTTTGCCTTCAGAAATGTCTCAGCATTTATGGCAGATGACTGATGTGTCTGTTCTCTGTAGAAAGTTGTTACTTATCAGGCGCATGGATCATAAGTCACAGGGGCTGAGGAGGCACACGCAGCGTTAATCTTGAGCCCTGAGTCACAGTTTGATTAAGTGTGTTGTCAGGTTTGAGAATTTCCAGTATTACCAATCAGGACATCAATATTCCACAAGTATCTGTAACCCCAGACTGACACTTCAGCTAATAAGATTGAACAGGACTGCGGCAGGAAGTGTAACTGGAAATGAAATCGAAATGTATCCTTCCCTTGAACCTTTGCAAATCCTTATGTAAATGTACTCAACCAATTCAGCTCGAACTATGTGGTATTTTGAATTCAGACCATATGCACGGTGGTTTTTCAGATGGCTTTTCATCCAAAAGGAAGCCACAGATGGAAAAGATGCCAGTCGTCTGTTGGATGCTGCGTCTGTGCTGCTGGATTTCCTCTCGCTCTCCATTTTGGCAGGAGATCTATGGCTGTGTGGATGTGTGCTGATATGTTGACGGTATTATTACATCAATTATTTGGCAAGGGGGAGGTCAAAGCCACACCAGCATCCTGTTTCCAGAGAGGCGTGCTTTGTGTCTACCCCCAGGCCACAATTAAGGCGAGCAGGGAGCCCAGATTCAATCACATGCATCACTCCTGTCCAACAGAAACACACTGTTCCAAACCCGAGACGCACTGATATCAGAAATCATGCCCTAAGCTATACCGCCTGATAACAAAAGCTTGGGGGAGCATGTGGCCAGACTGTGACCCCTGTAATTATTCATTATGCTGGGGCCCTGTAGATCTTCATCATGCCTCAGACTGCTCTAAAAAGAATTAACATGTGAACGAGCAGCATGTGGTGATAGACTGATAAACAGGATGGTTGTTGATGGCGTACATACCCTCGGAAAGTGTCCAGTGAGCGCAGACGTGCCGGTTTTGCTTTGGTGGTATTATGCTCGGCTTCAGAAGCATGTATTTCCTGTAGAAACAATCAGGGCATAGACAAAATAATATCAGAACTTTGGCTTTTAAGTAACTGAACACCAGGTTGAATGGCAAGTAGTAACACTTGTTAACTCACTATATGTGGCTATTGTATGTTTATTGTTTCACCTTTGGCCAGTTGGGGGCAGTAGAACAAAGTGTAAACACAACAGTGATCGCCTCATAAAGCTGACAAGGCAACCGTATTCGCAAAATCTAGCCTAATCACACATCTAGGAGAGATGGAGCAGCATTAGAGTTCATTTGCAATCGTGTTTCTGGGCGCCTGATGAATACAAATCCAGTATTGACTCTACTTTTAGGTTCGTTTTGGTCTCCACCAAGAAAAATATTTGGTTCTTTAGCTGCTAGATGTTCACCAGCTTGCAGGAAGTGAACAGCGTGTTTATTAGAGCTTTATTGATCAAAACTGCAGGTTGACGAGAACAGAAGCACTGAACCGAAACAGTAAAAACCAAAACAATTAGCTAAAAGACACTAAAACCCATCTGTAGTGCTGAGGGGAACTGCAGTCTGTTTCTCTCTACGATTGAGCCATTTCACATTACATGTAGTCATCTGATTAATATAAACATAGTGATCAGTGCAGCTTAGACAAAGCTGAATTATTTAGTCTTTCATGAGCCCTCTTAGTTGCCTCGTGTTGTTTTGTACTTTAAGCGCTGATTACAAGACCTCTTTTATAGCTCACAAGTTCTGCTAATTGGCATCAAGTTTAAAATGGCCCTCTTATGAAGCAGTGATTAATTATAATTACGTTAAAGTTCTCTCTCTGGAAGAGGTCACACATTTTGTTCTACTTGCTGTGCTATGAAAAAGTGGAGAGGTTGAAACAGAGGACGCATTTAGAAAAACATAATAGCAACAGTATTGTATAGATACTTACAGCAACCACAGAAATATATATGTATTATATATTTATGTAATGCTTTGTTTGAAGATTTTACGTAACTATTATTGTTCCGAGATGTAAAAATGTTGACAAAACCAAAAATCTAAATTGCCACATGGGTCAGAACTCCTCAACATGATTTCAGGCATCTCTCTGTTCTGTCATCCTCCGCGCTGTGTGGTGGCGCCTCCTTTTTCCTCCTCTCTGTGAAGGCAGCATTGAGACGACTCTGGCCTGTTGCCCTCTCAGTTGGATTAGCCTGACTCACTGGCCTCCATGCAGCAGTTTAAAGAGCCAGAGCAGGAAGACACCAGCACTAATATGTTATGATGGATCTACATGCCATCCAGGCAGCATATGGAAGACAGAGACATCTTGCTTGGACGAATAAGAGGAGCCATTCATGCTCACCAAAAATACACAGCGGGTCTTGCCATCAAGCAAGATGATTGGTCGGATACGACGCCTTATCGCTTCCATGTAATTCTGCTGTACAATTGGCTCTGCTAACATTTGTATCAATCATTCCATTAGTGTCTCCCAAATGGCTTGATGACTGGAGTCTCAGAGCAATTTTGGTATGCATCTCAGGCTGCGTAGTCGGCCAATGAAAATAATGCAATGTAACTGTTGGATCGAGGCAACGCTGACTTTTGCTTACAAAGAAACAATCATTTACTGCAGTGAAGAAATAAAACTTCTCTCTTCTTCTCTTCTAAATGCTTTTATTTCTGAGAATTTCAGCAATCAAGACACCAAACAAACAAACAAAAAAAAAAGGGTTTAATGAGGTTTTAATGCTGCATCTTAAAGACCTTGACATGTTTAGTATGTCAATGAGATTACCACTTGAGCACTCATTTGATAGAAATCCTTTGATTGGTTTATGATTGATCTAAATTTAAATCAATCAAATCATGCATCTGTGTCATCTCTCGGGGTATTAATCTAATGGATTCATTAGAAGCTGCAGTTTACTTACATTATCCACTGAGTACTGTGGGCTTTGGCAGCAAATGGCCTTAATAAATTTTGATGTACAAGGCCTCCTGTAAATGAGACAACAAGTTTGAGCTGCCTGGAAGATGAATCAGTGCAGGATGGTCGATTCATTGCGGATGACGTACAAATAAAACATACCTGTAGATGAAGGGTGCCACAACGAATAAGAGAGCGATTATGGACAGTATGAGAGCAGCCACTAGAAGAGCTAGAAAATAAGAGAAGGAAATGTTTACAAATAGATATCAAACTGTGCCATCGTAGGTCTTTCTGTCTGGAAGTCCATGACAGGAGCTTAATACTGTACATCTCTATCAGAATGGGATCTGACTGGGGATAAAAAGGCCTGATTACCAGTCCAAACTGTCTGCTTTACTCGCCTCTGGACTCCCTTGTGGCTCTCTGTCAGTCAAACAGTGTCAAAGTGGATCCCTCATGTGACAAACAAGAAGCTAATGGAAAACTCTTGCTCGATCCATCAACTCATCTCAATCACTGTGGGTAATCTAACCCTGCAGGCTATCTGAAAAGGAAAATGTAAGGCTACACTGGGACGAGGAAACAAAGACGGAGGAAGAGAGCTGGAGGGAGAGGGGTCAAGATGAGGTTTAACAGTACGCGAGGATGCAAATACTGCAGCTTTTAAAAGGTCCAGTGTGAAACATTTAGGAGGATCTATTGGCACAAGTGGACTATAATATTTATAGGTATGTTTTCATTAGTGTTTAATCACCTGAATAAAGGAATCGTGTTTTTGTAACCTTAGAATTTATCTACAGATGCCGAGGGTCGCCTTCCATGGAGACCGACCACGCTGAGCCACCGTGTTTCTACAGTAGCCCAGAACGGACAAAACCAAACACTGGCTGCAGATTGGGCCTTCACACAGCTTGTTCTCATTCTCAAGTCGTCAAATACAGACGCGAGCAGTGTTCAGTTAGTTGCAATCTCAAACTTGACCCTTAGATGCTGCTAAATCCTACACGCCGAAATCTACTCAGATAATAAATCAAGCATTGGGGTAAAGCTCATGGATTCATTGATTAAAGCCCCCAACAAGGAACTTTCATTTTGTGTTGATTCTGGCGCCCCCTGTGGACAAAAGCGGTAATGTTTCCACCTCCTTGTTTCATTGATTTCAAGGGAAAAGTAACTATAGAAAAAGCCAATATTTTTGCTGATGGTCTTGTTTGCTAATGTAGGTCATATAGAAGAGTTTATATTCCTGTATCACTTCATAATTTAGAGACATTAGTGCAACTCAAATGATAATAAATACCACTTTTAAAACAAAAATGCAACATTATTGTTCCCCCATCAGCATCAGCAGCACTGAAAAATCCTAGAGACATTTTACATCTGTGCTACTGATTATAAAACTATACCACAGGGGCTCAGGAGATATCAGTAAGGTGCGTCACAGCACAGGAAACAAGGGGACAGTCTGCACAGTGTTTGTCTTCAGTGGAAAAACAAACAAAAAGACACCATTTTAACCAGAGCTGAATCCACACTATGAATCTCCACTCTGAACAGAGAGTGGTCACTTGATCGCCTTCGGAAAAAAAGTCCTGGCATCTCTGGCGTCCACTCATAAAAACACCATAAAGCTCTCAGCGCATGAAGTGAAACAGCACTAGAGCTCTGCAACGGCCACGCTCGCTCTATTAGTTACTGTCAGAATAAACACGAAATGAATGGAGGCATTTCAAAACAACCAGATTAAGGTTCAGTTCGTCGATATGCTTGCATGTTTCGTCGAACAAACACTTAATAGTAGATTTGTTTTGTAAGAATTAAAGGGGCCTCGGCAGGTGACTTGTGGTTTGTGGTACAATGCAGAATACAGTACTAACATGATTAAAGGGTGGATCTGATAGCAGCTGCACAGAAACATATCCTTGAAGGATACCGCACCCAACAAATGACCTCATGAAGCTCCACGGCCGATCAATCTGAGACGCTGAAGTAAACTTTGAAATTCCCTAGCAGGGCAACTCTAACCTGTCTTGAGCTGCTGACCAGACCATTACTTAAGCTGAGCAAGTCCTATGGGGAGTTTGTATAATCACCGGTCTGTGGAGCTAATGGAAGCTCATCATACTGTGAGGGGTGCAGTCACACTGACCATATATCTGCTCAGATAATGGCTACTTGGCCTTAAAAGTCTGATCTACAACATAATCTGCAATATTGTTAAGTAGAGTGTACATTATGGAGAGTGACGCTTTCAAAATCCCATTACGCCCTAATCCTTCCACACTCCCTAATGTATTACCCACAATCCTCCACGCGCAGAGCCAGGCCTTCAAGACAAACAGAAAAGCTTTTCTTTTATCCCTTTTCAAGAAAGCATGTCTTATCTGATCAATACACATCATGTCCCAGGAGATGGATGAGAATTACTGCTCAGTAGATGTGGACCAACCGAGTGATTCTCCTCTTTGCTGACTCAATTAAGTAGATCAAAGGTTTGGCCTGAGCGTGTCCACAGCTTCTTCCACTGTCACTGTGTCTCACCAAGGCAACAATGTCCACTCTCAGTCAGTTATTCAAAACTGCAACTGACTGTTGGACGTCATCGTCCTGTATTCTTCCTCAGTGATGTGCACTTACGCAGGTATGCATTGTTTGGTCTTTTATCAACAGCGTGGGTGCAGCTGGGATAACTCGCGGCCTCTGACATCAGGATCCAAACAGAGAAATGACCAGCTTCTTCATACATCTGACTCCACCTGCAGCCAAAAACAGTGAAATATTGAGACACACTTCCCTTAAAAAGCACATAAAACTGCATGCTGTTTTCATTTGATCCCATCTGAAATGACATTTCCTTAGAAGCATCCATAAAATTACTTTTTTCATCCACTACTGCTGTTTTCCTCTTGGACTGACTGTAAAAAGAAAAGTCCTTTCCCATCTCCCTCTGATGGTTTTAACGACCACTATGAAGCTCACAAGCACCACCTAGTGTCTGCAGACTTAAAGTGCGTCCCTCTGTCCCCTCGTCATCTCCAGTTTCAGGCCCCAAAAAACATGCATTACACGCTCCTATTGATCCACTGTTGGGATGACATACTAGCTATCACTTGGAGTGTTTTTTCAAAGGGGAAAAGGAAATCAATAGCAGCACAGTCTGGTTAGAGACCTCAACATTGATCTAGGAAGCACAAGACCAGACCTCTGAGAGGGCAAGAAAAAGCACCAGAGGCTTGTCATGTTGCGACCGGATCTCCGGCACCATGTTTACAGGTGACCCCCAAATGGAAGACTCTGCCCCGGTGTCTTGTCAGTCCTGATTGTTAATAAATATGGCAACTGTCTCCTCCGGTTAACATCCCAGCTGAGGTTTCCACAGGACGTGTAGCTTTGAAGCTTTAATGAGCCCTTTTCATCAATATTGGAATGTCAGGTCTTATTAACCCCAAAAAGGCTCCTGATCGATACCCGGCGACGTAGTTTAAGGGAGGGCATCACTCAGGTCCAGAAAGCAGGTCAGGATTACTCCCACAGCCCTGTAAATAATCTTGCAGACTGCTGATGCAATCATCGGATGCCACCACACTATATTATGTCTGGAAACAAGAGCAATACACTCCCACAGGCAGAGTAAACAGGAAACAAATCAACATTTTTAAATTAAAAGCTGGTGTGATTGTTATTGATGCTTTATTAGGAGTTTTACCTGCAAAGAGTTACATTCCTGGCCTGTGATTCCACTCGCACAGACAGGGTGAATTTAGTGCTGATCACTGCAGATGCATTGTTGTTGTTGGGTTTCACAGTGACCAAAGGTTGGTACACACACTGAGAGGGAAAAACAGGTGAAACGCTGACTTCAGAAAGAATCAGAAAGTATTTAGACTGTAGAGCAAGGAGGGCTCCAAACAGTTTCAGGGCAAGCTCAGTGAATGGAAGTGAAAAAATATTACATAAATTAACAAAAGGAGATTGCCTAAATGTGTATGATCAGAAAACACCTCATAGGACAGACCTTTTTATATATTTGGTGTCTGAAGTTATGTCAAACAGTAATATGAAGCTAGTTAGGCTCCATTGTTGAGCATCAATGGGATCAAATAACACAATCATGATCTCATAGGCATCCAGGAACCTAGTGACGCTCAGCAAAGGGGAGGATGAGGGGCTCCTTTATCCAGTGTTGTCTAAGGGGGGGCCTACAGTGTCAGACCTTTAAAACCCCTGGACCAGAGCGATGGTTGGGACCCCCAAATAGGTGGGAAGACAAATCTGATCAGGGTCAGGATGATAAGAGGTATAAGGATTCAAGGATTTAAAGGCTTATTTGTAATATATGTAGTGAACTGCAATGTGGCATGCATAAAAACATAAAGAAATAGAAAGAAAAAAGGAAAATTTACATTGTTACAGGTGCAAACAGGCAATGTGCAAGGCAGTGCAAAGGATTCACTGAAGACAAAAAGCTTAAAGATGAAGAAGAATACATATTTCTTTTATGCAAAATATTGATCCGACTTTCCTGTAATTCTTGTGAAATACAGGGTTTCCTCTCCTCAGGTCTCTAAAAGCTTTCAACTGAAAAAGGTTCAGTATAACTGTTGAGTAAATAAGACCATAACTTGTGATAATGGCTCACAAGGTGGCATTAATTTGTTTTAAAGACAAAAAAAAGAGTTGATGACAATTGCGGAGGTAAGAAAAGGAGGAAACTTTCAAAAATATAAATATGCCAAAATAGACGGAGCCTTACCTTTACTTTTCTCTTAAACCCTAAAAATACTTTAAAAATTACACTGATTTTATATGTGAATTTACTCGTTATGAGGAGTACTGCTCAGTCTTTCTAAATAAAATTGGCTCTAAAGGGAGCTTTCTAAAATCTAAAATCTGTGGAATTAAACCTGAAGATAACATCAGGAATACTTTGACTATTAAACAGGTAGACACAGACAATAATAGGTCTAAAAAAAGATGTTACTGTGTTGTGTTGCATTATGGAAAACGTAGACTCCCACAAGGGACCAAACGTCAGGATATCACAGATTTTAACCATAAACAAATCTGACCTTACAATGCTGACCTGCTCTGTGTGCATCACTATGAGCCTCCCAAAACTCACAAATCCATACATGTTTTGACACAGACACTGCGTATATATATATATATATATATATATATATATATATATATATATATATATTTCTTTACCTTATAGCAGTAATCTGACGTGTAGAAGACCTGAACTTCTTCTCTCAGCTGGTTATGAAACGTCAACAAAGCCTGGTCCATTTTCAGAGCGAGTCCTGCATAGATTTAAAGCAGCAGTGATTTACAGCCCGCACACAAAGCTTTCTGTACATCATAAATATAAAGATAGCAGAAGGGTGTATAACATCACTATCATCATCAAGATCATAACATGCACTCAATACTATTGATAGAGTACGTTCTTACACTGCTGACATAATTGAATTTGAACCTGCATTGGTTGTAAACATTGATTGTTAACAATAAGATAAGATTTAGAAGAATCTCACGTCAAATATTCGCTCTAACACTTTTGACTACATTAGCTTTTAACACCAGAATGAAACCACATCTGTCACTAATGAACCCTAGAAGACCCACTTGATTTGAGGTGTCCTCCACAGCTGCTGGTTACAAGGAATAGCAAAGTTAGACCTGCTTGTAGAAGCAGTCTCCTGGGCTCCATGTTGCTACTTGAAAACAGCCACTTCTACTGCTCATCTTTATAACTCTCACACTAATATAAAAAGCGGTCAAAGGGCAGCATGCATGCGTGCTTGGTGGTTCCTTTTTTTTTGGTTCGTGATGATGCATTTGTTTGGATTCACCTTTGGAGGCAAAAATTAGTCAATTAAGTTAATTATAGATGATGAATAAAAGAATAAAACAGACAATTCACAAGTTTCAAAAGCTGAAATAAGTGTATTAATGTAGAAGTCAGAGGGATAAACTGCATTTCCAAAAACAATTTATACAACCATTTAACTCCAATCTCAGCAAGCATGAAAACACAACAAAACAACAACAACTGGCACAAGCATTATGTCATTTAATCCTCTGGAGCAGGCTGTAACCGTTTCAACAACAGAACATGATTTATTCCATAATTCTGGAAATCTTCGTGTTGATGTTGCGTGTTGATCTAATCATCTAATGCTTATCTAATGTTTCTGTTTTAAATCAGCAAAAACACTGAAGCACTTTTTTCTCATTTCCACATGCAGCCAACTGTAAAAGGCTGATCACCTGTCACATCCTCTCCCTCAACCTCATTTCATTAACCAGTTCATTTCCCTGAGCGCTCGCTGTGACAGATGAGTTCACCGTGGGGGCAATCTCACAGGAGCAGCTCATTAACCTTTGACATGAACCCCAGTCAGCTGAAGAGCAGAGCTGGGTTTTAAAATCTGCTGTCCTGTTGAACAGAGACATCATTAATACGTGTGTGCGCATACAATATAAAGCAGATAATTAAAGAGTGTCAGCAAAACTGCTGCACTGGCCTTTGTGTTGAATCCTGCCACTATAGCTGCCCTTACACATGCCTTGCGCAACAGATGACAGTTTATGATTAAACCCATGCTGACAGGTGGAGGAGTAACCTATCAGCAGAGAGGATTTCTGCTCAGGCTTCTGCAGGGGCAGCTAAGCAGGACCTACTCCGGCTCATGTGTCGGATGGATTCATTCCAGTTGCTCTCCCTGGCTGCCACAACAGATTTGCCTCTGGAGCTGGAGCCGAACCTCCTCTGTACATAAATAAAACACACACACTCTGCAAACATGGTGAGTACACAACCTCTCTACGGTGTGTGACACAGGGCTGCTCACTCACCTGTTGCCATTTAACTCTCTTTCTGTAAAACTCAACTAGTCTTAATGCAGATGTATTCATTTACTTTTAATGTGCCAGTATGAATTTGCAGGGATATGAAGCTTTGTGTGTGTGTGTGTGTGTGTGTGTGTGTTTTAAGCCACTGTGTGTGATGAATAGATGAGCTTTAAGCCTGTGGGTATTGTCTCTTCGCTCCACTGATAGAGCAGATTACAGCGTTGCTATGATACCTGTTGATGTCATTGCTCTGTTTCAGGCTGTGGCCGTGACATCTGTTTGCTCTTCTGTTGATGTACAAAGCCTCCTGATTGTGCAATAATCAGATATATCTATTTGGGGGAAATGTTGTCAAGTGTTGACAGTGCAGTTTGGATAGTTTAAGGGGTCATGGAGTGAAATGAGCATAAACTTTAAATCCATGTGACCCAGCATCATGTGTCAAGATTAGGAAATGAGTGACCAAAACCGACCCCCCCCCCCCCTCCCATTACAACCAGCACATACCTTTGAACTAGTTTTTTTTAAAAACCAGGAATGTAGCTTTTCATTGTTTCCAGATGGGATCCGATGTAACCAATCACAGTTTGTGTTTGTGAAACTGCCCCCCTCTCAGATCTGCTGTACTGTTTCTTCTGCTCTGTCCCACCAGGCTGGTAAAATCCAGAGTCTGACGGATGAGGAGAGGGCTCACCTACTGCCGCTGCTACGCAACGCTCAGTGGGTGGAGGTTGTGGGACGCGACGCCATTTACAAAGAGTTTATTTTTAAAGACTTCAATCAGGTTTCTAATTTATTTTAACCCACATAACTAGCACACTACTGTATGTTATGTGTGTGCAGGATTTCAGGATGTGATGCCCTTTCCTTTCAGGCTTTTGGCTTCATGTCCAGAGTGGCTTTACAAGCAGAGAAGATGGACCATCATCCTGAGTGGTTCAATGTCTATAATAAGGTAGAAAAGACTCATCAGTGAATACAGTAAAGCCCAATATTATGACCTTGTACTGAGACTTCAAATTCATTTGTTTTTTAAATAATATAATCCACATTTATCTGTAAAATCACCAAAAAAGAGCCATTTTCTTATTTTTAAGGCTGACAAAGATGCTATAATAATAAATAGTTAACTAATAAATGTTATAATAACAGTCGGATGATTCAACACAACTTTACACACTATTGTCAGTATTGTTGCTGTTGCTCCCAAGTGGCCAAAAAAATCAATAGGCCTTTCTCACTGCAGACATTTTGACATGAAATAGTAGAATAAACACACCAATGATACTAATTAAGGTTCAAACTGAGTCAGACTGCTGCTACTGTGCATGTTGGCTCACTGCAACTACACTAAATGGAACTGAGCTTTAATTAGTATTATTTGTTACACCTGTGTTTACTGACTGTTTCATGTCAATTAATGCAAGTTTAAAATACTTTTAAATGTTGTTTTCTTCATATGGTTAAATATGGATATATGTCTTTTTAACATATTACATTTTGAACTTTATATCTTCTACATTTTTAATATTTAACATTAGTTACTTTACTGGTTTAATCATAAAAATATCCAATGACACTTTAACTGCCTTCCCCTCTGCTGACACATCAACTGCTTTTATCACTTTAATTTAATGTCGTTGGAGGCAGGGATAGACGTGCTTTTATTTCATCTGTTACTGTTTGCAAATGAGAAGCCTCGAGTGCTTGATGCCATTATGAAGTTGGCTGAGACTTTCTGAGATGTGTTAAAGAACCATCTTTAAAGCAAACACACTCAGATTCACAGATTAGCCTGTTCTTGTCATATCATAACATTTGCCTTTGTCCCCCCCCCAGGTCCAGATCACTCTCAGCACACATGACTGTGGGGGGTTGTCCCAGCGCGACATCACTTTGGCCACCTTCGTTGACCAGGCATCACTGATGTGAGCAGCAGCACATTATAGGTCACTTCAACGGTGAAGAGCTGGAAGTCACAGATCTACGCTGGCGTGACCTCCAAATCCAAACAATATGAACCAAATACTGTCAATGTATCGTGAATAAAGGGTCCAATGTGTGTGTTGAGATTATAAGTGAACGGTAAAATAATGTTTACGGATGTAATTCCTCAGCAACAAGTTATTACAGTTAACATTCACAACAGTACATGTATCCGTCTGTCTGTGCCAAATGTTTTTTGTATTTACTGTCAGTAAATGTTATTTTCTCACTCAAACTCTTTTTGTCGTCACTGAAAAATGACCAGAAATGATTCGTCTCATCAGACTGAATGCATTTTATTGAAACACAACACTTTTAGACATCTGCTGTGGTCAGCTAAGACTGTAGTCATGTTAACTGCTCTCAACAGTGTTTGCTATGGATCGTTTTAACATAAGAAAACCAGCAGGTGATTTCCTAACTTAAAATAAATCTGCTACACAAGGGCGCTCTGACATTAGATTTAACAAAAATATGTGAACCTTTGTACATTCAGAACCTCACATGATGTACAATGGTGGACAAAAGTCAAAAAGACCTGATAACATACAATATAATGCAATCATCTACTCCCAAAAAATACCAGCATGTTTTCTACAAAATGTAACATCTTAAGACTGATGTAAGGATGCATTTGAGTGCATTATATGTTAAAGCTCCACCCTGTGTAAGTCTGAAACACCAACGGGCCTTAATGATGACAATGTTATGAAGCCAATTCCCTGAAAATCTGCTTTAACGTCATGAGTTCAAACCTCTGAAGGCACAGAGGCTCATTATTGCTACATCAATGTCACCGAACAGCAACGACACAAACACAAATTCAGATTTTGTCTGTTAGCTTAAAGAGGAATTTGCATTAAAGGTTTTTTTATTCAATAGAGATTTCTCAGCCATTCAATCGTCACAATTTTTTGCAGATATTTCTCCAAAGCAAACAGTTGTTTGTTTTTTTGCACGGGCGTGGGTTTCCACACCCCGTCACTGGGCAAAGTATTTACGGATGAATGGATGGATGGACACATGATGATGGTACGAGCATAGTGGGGGGGTGTCACGTCCTCTGTCTGTTAACCAGGCACTGACTAAAAGATGTAAGAACCTAAATACATTCATGTCTAAATCTCATTAAATCTGCTCAATATGTAAAAACAACAATTGTTGAAAACACAAGTCACAAAATCGACACAAATTAAGTGATTATTAAAACACCCAGTGGTCACACAAATGGTTAAATTACACTAACGAGGCTGATTTCATTCAATACTATCCTTCTAATCTCTTAAAACATTAATAGTCGAGCGTTCCCCTTTCGTTTCACTTCATAAAAAGGAAAAAAGTTACATATTGCACAAACATGGAAATTATTTCATGGAAATTTCAACAAGCAATATTAAGAAAGCACGTGAAAGAAAAAGAGAACACAAAGTCCTTTTGGTGTTACAGTATGCATCGTTAAGTTGTCAACCTGTTAGTAAAAGGTGTACATATCCTGCTGAGTGGACATTTACCAAAATATATCCACATCGAGACAGGGCAAAGAGTGAGTTTCTCCCAAGATAAAACTATCAAATCTGTCGGCCTAGGGTTTAAAAAAACCTCCATCACAGTGAACTATGTCTAAGAACACTATTATTACAGTCTGTCATTGTGAAGTTAATCGTTATGGACATGAAAAAGTACAGAGCGGTTGCTCTGTTAGAATGTGGTTTAAATGGATGAATAAATGATATTTGCATTGAGTAAAAACTGAGGTAGATTGAATTAGGAGATGCATTATTAAAACAAGGTGTTACACAGGTGACTCTATGCAAACAACAGCGTAAATGTTGAATTCTTGATAATATACAGTAGACCAGGGTTGGAAACAGCTCGGTGTTAAACGATGTTAAATTCCACTGCTTTACTTTACAAGGCGGCTGCGAGGAGGAAGCACTTTTCAGATTCAGAAAAACAGAATAACCAAAGCGGCTGACGGGCTTTGGCTTCCACTGGCCACTTTAAAAACATATTCATGCCTCGATTACGTCTCCCAACTTAAATTTAAAGTTTTATTGATTATTAACGACCAATTAATATCCAAATTATTCTCCCTCTGCCTACAAAACCACCGTAGATGGACCGCGAACACAGACTAAAAAATCAAAACGAATGTCATCATATTAAGTGCCAACAAACAAGGACATGCACGTTCATGCTTACAGACAAACTCCTACCGTGACATCAGAATTGCAGTTTCAAGTGATTTACAGATTAACCTGATAAGTTCTGGTCAGGGCATTTCAGTGCTTTTATATTTAACAAAAAAAAAAAAAAAAAGCTGTGTTCCAGAGAACTATTAACATGATATAAGACAACATACACCTCCGACGGGCCCTCCACATGTAGAGCCAGTCTAGAGCAGTACGTCACATGTCGTGCTAGAGGGCAGCACAACGCTGCTGACAAAGCTTTGAGTGGTCTGTGTTCCTGCTGAATCATCACAGACAGGGAAGCAGTGATGGCAGCAAGCTGAAATGTTCCGGCGTTATTATTAAAAAACAAAAGAACTGTTTTTGCTTTACAATCGTTGGAGATTAAGACAGACATTTAACAAAAGCTAAAAATTGAAATGAACTTTTTAAAACAACTAAAATAAGACACACACACACACACAAAAAAACACACTACGTTAATAAAATCAAATTAAAAGACTTGTTTGGAACCAGTCATTTCTTCTCTGTCCCACTTCAGTTACAAGCGATTTCCCTCTGGGCTGATTAGAATGACGATGGCTTGTGCTTCAAAGATCTTTGCGGATGTTTTCCATGTGGTGTAGTTATGCAAGATAAGGCAACTGTTGAGCGTTTAACTCAGAGCTCCGGGAGGAGGGGGAGCGGGTTTCCCTGCGTGCGGTGGGATTCGGGGCCAGGAGGGCCCGATCCCCGCCTCAGTGGGCTTTGCCGTTGCTACCGTTCATGTGGCTGGTGTTTGACTTGGGCACCTCAGTGCTGTAGAGACAGTCCAGGAAACCTCGGGAGATCTCTGTCACCATGGATCTGTCCGGGATTGCCTGGGCCATGCCGTAGATCGCTCCCTGAAATGGCAGGAAGACAAAAGTGAGTTTACAAGCACTCAGTAATAAAATACATACACACACACTCATATCCTCATACACTAATAGATTAGAAACACTCTGTGGTGTTCAGGAGATATCTGATGATTTACTTTTCTTGGTGTAACCACGAGAGCTGCACAGTTAAGTGCAATATCCTAATTCCAAAAAGGTGCAATTATTTTGATAAAAAAGGTCAAATGTGTGACAAACAGCTTTATAATGAAGTACTGTAGAGCTGCAGAGGTGCTCTGACCTACAAATCTCGTTCTCCAGATGTAAGAGAACATGTTGGTTTGGTTGTTTGGTAACAAATGTCACATCCTCATGATTTTAACATTAGTGAAAATGAAAACTGAGATGTAAAAATGATAATTCCCACAGTAATTATGAAACATATAATATCTGTAAAAATATTCACAGTATGATGTTTTTACCATATCACGCAGCCCCAGTAAACACTTATAAACCTGCCTTGACTGCACTTGCATTTTCTCTGACCTGTATACATACACTGTAGATGGAGAGTAATTGTGTTATTTATTGCATATTATTAATATTTTACTGTTATCTCAGGATGTATTTTTCGGACTTTGCTCTCTGTCAGGCCTTTTGTTTTCATATCTTTTATGCAAATGATGGCGATGCGTCATTTGTAGGTGTTCTCCTAACAAACCTGACTGACACAGTGCAGGTTTGTGCCTGTTGGCTGGAGTTTCCACTTCATTTAAAACTGACACACACAAACAGCACGTGCAGTTTGTGCCAACTTAAGTTGATGTTGCGTGCAGCGAGAAAAAACAAAACGCCACGTGCACCAACAGCATGGTAAACAATAGAGACTGGCAGACACACACGGTTTTGTCATGCCTCAATACAAATGGATATTGTCTCACACTTAGCTGCACTCACAAGCTGTCCAAAGATGAAATTAAAGTTAACGATAGATACAAAGGCTGGATTTTACAGCATTTTTAAACAATGTTATTCTTTTTCTCTCTTTAAAGAACCTTACATGGTGTTATACAAGTACAGGTCTTTGTGGTAGAGATGTACAGATGGTAGCTAACGTGAGAGGCCACAGAGTCTGGCATGCTTTATGTTGGCAGACTCTGGTGCCCAGAGATAAAAAATAAGATAAGATAAGACCTTGTAGATGTTCCCAACTCCCATGATAAGACACAGTTTCACCTCCTCCCTCATGGTGTAATTCTGTATGACATTGGTGAGACCTTCTGTACAAATACGTTATTTTATTTTATTCTCCACAACCATTTGGCGACCCCAGAGTTGAGAACCACCGCTCTTAAGGATGTGCTCGTTAAATATAATACAATTGGCTTCAAAAAGCCGGCGTGTTTAGTCCTGCAGTGTCCTTGATGGAAGATAAAACTCGATCTCACTGACTCTTCCTTTTCCAGGACCTTTTCCAGGAGTTTTTCTTGACAATTCAGGACAGCACTTGCTCACAAACAGTCATATCATTTACTGGTAGCACTGACTTCAACTCCAGTTTTATGCCTCCTTTTTTATTTTTTTATGATGATGTTTGACACAGAAAAGATTGCTGCGACTCCTTGACTGGAAAACTTAAACTTTACAGATTTCCCAGGACGTGTAGGAACCCTGATGAACGTACTAATTAAACATTAAGCTGTATATTCAGTGTGTGAATGTAATGTGAACGTAGTGTAAGCAGAGCCAGCTCACCATTCCTGTGGTTTTCTCTTTGGGGTTCTTCATGATGATGGCAACCTGCTCTTTGACATCGTGGACGAAGTGATCAGCGACGCCCTGCTGTGTGTGCAGAACTGTGCAACAAATGTGGATGCTGCGAAACAGAAGATCACACCCTCGTTAAAAACACTCCTGATTTATCACATTTGTTTCTAGAATGATTCATTATTTGTTTTTATACATACCTGGATGGGTACTGCAGCGAGTTCAGATTCCAGCCCTTTGACGTCAGCGCATTAGACAGACGGAAAATATCAAAAACCTCTGAGCCTATTGCCACCACTGACACCTCCGGATCCCCGAACACAAACACACCTTTTATCTTGCGGATTCTGTCGATAAAAACACAACATCAACAAAAATGATTCAAATGTTGGCGGTGATAATAAGATAAACGATGTATG